GATAGTAGAAACATAGTCTACTCTACTCGTATCCAATCACATTACAGCTGTGATAGTAGAAACATAGTCTACTCTACTCGTATCCAATCACATTACAGCTGTGATAGTAGAAACATAACTGAACTAAATCTGATATTTTATCGACCGTTACCATAAAACAACCTCAGATCAAAGGGGCCAACTACCTCACAGATTGAACCCTAGAACAGCCTCTGGGCTGATCTAAGTCAGGGCATGGCTAACTTACAGATTGAACCCTGAAACAACCTCTGGGCTGATTAAMGTCAGGGCACGGTTAACTCAAGGACTGAATTAGAATTTACCCTCGGATCAAGAAAGAGTCCAAAATCTATTCACACGTGACTGTGGAGTCCAGGAATTGAAAGTGAAAGAGACAAGTTTACTACTCCAATGCCACTCATGATTCCCACTTGAGCTCTGTCTATTCTCCATTAATAACTACATATGCAAATCCATAATAAAAAGATTCCTTTTTCCAGGAGTGTCATGGCACAGAATGTGTGCAAAGCACCATATACTTGCTACCAAACGAACCTTGAACGATGTTATTAGTAGTCCTGATCAAGCTTCCAATGACACGTCTGTGAATGAGTCTGTGTGGTTCCGCCTCCAGGATCCTGTTACATCTCAATCTATGCAGGTAAGTAAATATGTGCCTAAAGCGACTTTAGAATCCAGTCAACAGCTATTACCAGCTGAGTGGACAAAATGACCGGCCTAAGCAGTTTTGGAACTTGAAAAAACAAAACAAATATGGCGATAAAGTGAAGTTATTTTTATTCTTCCTTTTCATATTTTTGCTTCTTGTATACAAGTTTATTCCATTTATTCAAAAGAAAATAGAAAAATACACAAAAGATGGGCTACAGTAGCCTGAGAATGAGGGCTAAACAGCTAAACGCGCTGTGATTGGCTCCAATCCTCCAATGCTACGCAGATTAGTATTGGTTACTACATAGTAAATGATGAGGATTAGATCATATCAACTAAAATCTCCATTCTTCAATTTGTCAGTATCGTTTTCATCTTTCATCACCAATTTCATCACACTGCACCTTTATTGATCATCATTATTATCATTATCCTCGTCATCATATTCCATTAACCTCTTCATCGCAATATCACCTTTCTTGAGCATCATCATCATCATCATCCCCATCGTGATCATTGTCGTCATCTTCCATTACTACCTTCGTCAAACTACTAACGTTCTTCATCATCATCATTATCCTTATCGTCGTCATCTTTCAACACCACCTTCAACGCAATTCCACTTTTTTAGATCATCATCAGCAGCTTAATTAGCTTAATCAGCATTATCATCAACATCGTCATCATCATCATCGTCATCGTCTTCCATCACCTTTCTTAATTTTCATTTTACTCGTCATACTTTATTTTATAGATCCCTGAGTCTTGTACTCCTTCCATGCGCTGTTCAACCCAGGCCACCGGCTGGCTGCTTRGTTCTCATCCGGGTATTCAAGACGGAGGAGTTCGTCGTACTGTGTGTTTTAACTGGGATGGCAATTGCTGTAAATATAACACCACTATTCTTGTACGAAGATGTCATGGCTTCTATGTTTACAAGCTCCAAAAATCATCGTTTGATGTTCACGCTGGCTACTGTGCAGGTAAAATATTTAAATTCTATGATTTAGCGTTGCATATTTATAAAGAAAATTTATTTATTTGAATTCGGAATGTCATTAGATCTTTTTGGTTTACACTATTTTTGAATTTCGTGCAAGCTAAAACTGAAATAGGTGACAACCATGATGGTACGCAATGTTTTTTAGCTACATTGAGATTTCCTAAATTTTTCCTGAACATACCCTGTCATCTTCTTGTTCAGAAAATGAAATAAAGCATATCATCATCGTTCCTTTGCTATATCCAGTAAATATGTGGCTCCTCAAAAGAAAATACGCGTGCTTTAGCTAAACATAACACATCGCATAAACACATCGAAATGTTGAAAATAAACTAAATTCAACAAAAACGTACCAGAACATGAACAGTATTATCCTTCACATTTCTGACACAAATGTTTGAAGAAACGAGGACGAAACAAGGATGCGCCCTTTAATCCGCGCGGTGAAACTAATTTTGCAATCGTATCAGTGGAATTTGAATCTATTTATTTATTTACATTTAAACAGAATGCTTCTTCAACTATAGTGATTTTCAAAAAGGTCCTGTAAAACGTCCTGTAAAACCAATAATTTTAAAAAATTGAGTCATTAAAAAAAAATGATGAGACGAATTGCAAATAGATAAACGCATAAAATTACATGTTTTGGAAAGCTTCAAAGAAATTGAATTCTTTCTCCAATTCGTTTTTACACTTGGCAAACGAAACTCATTTCCATTACTTGTGTCGTAACCATGCTCATTTAGCTTGATCAACTTGAGGTCTCACAGCAAGAAATTGTTCATACATTTGAAAATGTTTAAACAAGGATGATAGTGTTTAAGTTGAGTGAGCTCTTTCCAGTTGAGGACTTTACGTGAATCTGTTGCTGAGGACAGCAGAAGGCGATCTAGGATGATCTTGGCGGCTTTGTTGTGCAAAGTTTGAAGTACATCAGCCTTGCTAACCATGGCGTAAAAGATGTGTGATTCGCTTCAGGAGACCAAGGCGTTTGTTGATTATGGTTAACTGTTTTTCGATGTGAGCTGACCAAGACATGTTACTAGAAAAAGCCACACCAAGGTACTTTTATTTATGCACTCTTTCAACCTTTCTCRAGTTTACTTGGATGGCTATGGTTGAGATGTTGTTGGTTTTCCTCTTGCTTCCAAACAGCATGACTTTACTTTTAGAGGAGTTTAATGTTAAATGATTGAGTTCAAACCAATCTCCAACTATCTTAAGATCTTCATTGAGCTTTAATCTTCAATGTCAGAAGTTCTACAGAAGTCTCACAACTATAGTGCCCTATAGTGGAATACAAGACGTTAAACATGTTTGTTTTGATTAGTGGAGGAATTCACGTTTCGTTCGTTTTTTATCATCACCTATTGTTTTAGCTTGCACGAGGTTAAAAAATAGTGTTAAACAAAAAATATCTATTACAGGTACATGGCTTTTGTTTTTCTTAGAAATCTCCAATGCATTAAGCCCAAGTGTTATTTTCAAACACGTGACGGTCAATGGCGGCGTCGTAAACCACGTGATTCATACTGAACGTGACCTTGACCCACTCGAGTGCGTATCAGTCTGTCTGTCACACCAGTCATGCAAATCAATCAACTATTATTCAAGTAGCAGACTGTGTGAGATGAACAGTGCTGCCAGAAGTGACGTGTCGTCCAGTGATTGGATGGAAAGACAAGGAATCTCCCTGTACGAAATGATTAAAACAGTCGATAATGGCTCCTGTGAAAAGTGATCATTGATCATAACTTACTTCCAAGGTCTTAATATGAGAAGGTACGTGAAGACAATAACTTGAGAAAACGAGCTAGGTTTCGTGCGAATGAATTGATGCCCGAAGCAGCAGCGAAACTCAAAATGATCACAGGGAGTCCGAATTAGATAAAAGTGAAAGGTAAAAATAATTGAAAACAATCTGGGAAAAGTGCAGTACAATACGTTTTCGTGCTTATTAGTTTTCCTATGATATAATTCCGATCCCATTTGACTCTCTGGTATTTCAAATGCAAAATATTGTTCATATTATATAGCGATTTTATTTCCACCTTCCACTTTTATCTAAATTGGGCTGCCTGTGACAAAGACCAATAAGTTTATCACAAAACCTCGCTTTCGTGAATCAGTTACGAGACCCCTTAAGTGGGTTACACTTAACTCCACCTACATTCCTGTACTTCGCATGCTCGAGGATTGACAGGACGCGGGAGATCGAGAGTGGAAAGTCAAAAGAGTAGATGTTGACGCGCATGCCCAAATCTTCATTTGTTATAGTATATAGTATTTCTTGTAGTAGACATTATGAGGTCGAGGGAAAAACTGGGCCGAGTTAGTATTACAGCGTATTTGGGGCCCGTTTTAGGAGACGAAATAGACGCCATTTTGGAAATATGTTCCTCAAAAGAACCCCAAAATGCATTGCAAAGTGAAGTCAAGCCAGGTTTTTCTTCATCTTCTGAATCACTATTAGACATTTTGCTAAAAAAGGGCTTTCCTAATTTTCATAAATAAAACCAAAATCATCTTAAAATTAGACTGAAATCTTGTTAATTGGATAATCATTTCATTACCAAGTGACTTTATAGTAATGAGTAAGAGATATCAGAATTTACGAACATTTAAAATATGCAAAAAACATGATGCTGGCCGTGTCTTTGTTTTGTTTGTATCTAATACAATCTTTCTAATTTCACACTTTTTTCTTTGTTATTCATTGCATTTTGTCTTTAGCTCTTGACCTCAYTGCTCATTCAAGAGCAATATATTTTAGTATTTCAGAGCAATATCTACATGTTACCCTGGGAAGCAGGACAATATCTGCATATTGCCTTTGAATTGGTAACAAGCAGGGCAACATGGGGTATAAATAAAGCCCTCTGAAAAACAAAGAAAACTATATGATAATACAAACGCGATGAATACGTGATATCAGTAGGTCAATATCCAGATATTGACCTTGAATTTGTAATAAGTTTTTCCCCCTCGTTTCAAACTCAAGGTACCAATTTCAAAAAGAAGTTAAAGAAACCCACTTTAATGAGACTTTGTTTACTGCAATGTGGGATAAGCGTAAACATTGAAAATGRCGTAATCACAATCTACGAATGCTCACTAAAATAAGATTACGACTRCGATTTTCTTTATCTTACACACCGGATATGTTTACCAACTATAGTGCACTTTTCGGGACGAGGTCAAAACAATGGTCCAAAATAGGGATCCGATTTTATGAATTAAGGTGGTGGGTACCTCTTCTGTAGTGTCTGTAGTGGCAATTTCTATACACAAATATGTTTTTTTAGCACACATGCAGACAGACAGTCCATTCATTTCTGTGATTTGGCTTTTAGCTTTGGAGATATTTGGCGACAAAATCTAAGATTTCACATCCAGATGTGGTGGGTACCGGGTAACACCACCCCTCCCCCCTAAATCGGATACCGTGAGATGACAGGTGTTTTGCCCTCATCCCACAGGCAGCCCAAACAAGGTTCCTGTGTATGGTTTATAATGGAAGGTATGGGAGTTATGATAAAGTTACGAAAATAAAATGTTTCACTCAACAATTTGCCTCCAATCTTGCTGCAGTTGTTGCTTTTACTCTGTTCAGTCTTCTGGCGAATTTTCAGCGCGATTTGAGGCCGTTTAGTGGGTTTTTCAAAATCCGTTCTTCTCTACCTAAATAATTATTAAATTATTAAATAAATTATTAAATAATTATTAAATAATTAACTGCAGGAGGTACTTTTGAGGCAAATTGTTGAGTAAAACATTTTATTTTCGTAGCTTTATCATAACTCCCATACCTTCCCTTATAAAGCATACACAGTAACCTTGTTTGGGCTGCCTGTGCTCATCCTTTCTTTTTTGAACCGACTTTATCCACAGGTAGCCCAAGCTTGGCTTCTGTGGTGTCCTGCTATAAGGAAATGTATGGGATTCATCCAAAATTTCAATAAAATCATTGAAACGTGAAATAAAGCCTCGAAATTTTACCCGATCATTGAGAAATAGCACTTCTTTCGCTCTGCGTGGTTATTTTTTGAATTTAGCCCGTTTTAAGATTTGTTTCCCCACCAGTAAGAAATAAGATATTAAAATAGTTAATTATTGACAAGCAAAACTAAACTGAACCGCAAAGTCGAAAAGGAAAACAGAAAGCACTTTATAACCGCATCCACCGAGAGGAATGAAGACACTGCGACATAACGTCAACAGAACAAGAACAACACACCATTTCGCCTCGTTTACATGTTAATTAACATAAATTATTCAATATTGCAAAGAGAACCCTGAAGACTGTTCACGAAGACTGTCAAAAAGATTGGTGTAGCTAGTGTTGCAAGTTTAAATGTATTATATTCGTATGTAATAATGTCATAACGGGGGAAAAACGATACCGAAAAAACTTGCAGACAAAAGCGATTCAATCCCCGGTGCAGCGTCTTTTGCACTGGAATTAAATTCTTGTTACAAAAACAACTATAAAGTATCTGTTATAAACAGTACTGATTTATTAAATCTGTCTCTTGCACTTGTGAAGTTAAACTAAATGTAGGTTTGTATTTTACGAAAGTTTTTGCCTGGTTCTTGCTTTGCATGCACGACTGCCGTGAAACATTCATGAAAAGCCGTTCTTTTTCCGACTTCAAAAAAAAATTTCCTACCATTTGCTTAAGGAAATCTTTTCTTCTACACAGGAAATAATTATTTATTATTGTTCTTCGAATTGAATAAGTTTTTTGGTACTTTTCTGGTACGTCACGCTTGCCACGCTTTTAGCACCCCATTTATCCTCAAAACAATATTTAAAAAAGTCATAACTCTTTAAAACCCGTGGTAACCCCCCATTTTTTTTTCTTCAAAAATGTAACAGAAATAGTTAAATTATTTTTTATAATAGAATTTTTAAAATAAAAATGGTTTTGGATGCAAATGTAAGCAAAAATGTAGCATCCCTTTAGAACCATATTTTACACTTTTGAAGGCAAAATTTGGTTAAAAAAATGGTTTCTTATATGATACATAAAAGTTTATATATTTGATATAAAGAGCACAAATAGTCGTTTATTTGAAACAAGTTTCAGATAAAATCGATCAAAGCAACTTCGTGATATGATTTTTCCCCCTTGCGTAAAAAAGTGCTTACGTCATCAGTGTTTAACGTCAATTATCTCGTTTAGATGCGTGGGTACCCCCAATTTTTTTCAGATTCCAGTGGCCTCTTGGGTGATTTAAACAACTGGTACAATTTGAAAAGAATAAAAATGGTTCGCAATTAGTAGGCACCAACCTTAACGACTGCACATTAGAAGACACTTGAATATAGATACAACTCAGACTAAGAATCTTATTCTCAAGGGAATGACACGTGGTCTGAAATGGGCAAAATATTACGCCCAAGTGGAAGTGGTCCATTGATAAATGATTTCAGTGATGCACTCGGAGGGTCCAAGGAGAGTTTTGTGAGGGAAGGGGCGATTTATTTGGATAAATGGAGAATGATCCTCTTTGAAAAATTCCTACATTGCACCAATGACAAAAAAGCAAACCGGTTTACAGCGATACTTTTGCATCGCGACCCATTGTTTCGAAACTTCAATTTGGTTTTGGTCTTTTCTGGAACCGTCAATCATCTTGGGCTTATGCAAATAAGTCTTTGAACACGCTTGCTCAGCCTCGGTCATAACAATCATATTTTTTWAAATCTAAAAYGACTCAAGAATATTCCAAGGATTTGCGAAGGGAAGTTATTTTCAGTTAAGAATTGTTCCAGAATAGACTAAAATTCAAACGAAGTTTTGAAACAGCGCTGGTCGCCATGCAACGGTTATTCCTCAAAACCTTCTGTATCAATGTCAGGCAAGTTTTAGATTACTAGTGTAGATTACTAATTCCAATAAAGACCTTGTTGGGCGCACATGATTTGGCGTTTTGTAGAGTGTTATGTATGCTTTAAAGAACGACTATACACATCAAACCACCATATTGGATATCTCTGCTCGATTACTGATGGCTGTAGTGTAGTTGACAGGGTGTGGTCTATCCATCCATACAGTTCATCTCATGAGTACTGATGGCTGTAGTGTAGTTAACAGAGTGTGGTCCATCCATCCATACAGTTCATCTCATGAGTACTGATGGTTGTAGTGTAGTTAACAGGGTGTGGTCTATCCATCCATACCGTTCATCTCATGAGTACTGATGATTGTGGTGTAGTTGACAGGGTGTGGTCTATCCATCCATACCGTTCATCTCACGAGTACTGATGGTTGT